GTCAAACTTAGAAAGCGTTTACCTTCTGACTGAATTTATATGCCATCTATTTGGGGAGGGAGATAGTAACATTTATCCACAACGGTGGCCTAAAGAGGGAATGTATCTACTTTATGTTTTTTGTTCTCTAGATCCATCTCCAGCGGTGAAACTCGGCCAGATGCGACTCGGTTAGGGAACTTGTGGTGTTTGCGTTCCTCTCCTATGTTTGGTCGGAGTTGGGATTATCCTAGGAGAGGAACACTGATAACTTATCTGTTGCTGCTTTTACAAGCTCATGATCTTCAATAAGGTTACTTCAGTAAGACGGAGGCAGAGAGGCGATAAAGAACGTTGTTCGCGGCATGCTGTCAAGGGAAGCAGATGGAAGCTGGTGATATTTTTCTTGAAGGACTTGTTTGTATTTTTTTTATTCTTGTAAGGGAGTTCTTTTAAAGGGCTTATATCTGGCCTTGTGCCTTTTTCCACCAAAAGAAAATAAAAGTTCATAGCAGAAAGCCGCAGGTGGCACAAAAGAAAAAGGTGCAGTTCGGTCTGCCAAACACTACAATACAGCAGATTAAGGATCCGCTTGGTTCGGATTCCAAAACCAGCTTCTGCTTTGAAAATACTGAATCTGAACCAAGGGCAAAAAAAATGTACTGCCAGATGATCAGTAGTGGCTGTATGCAGTTCTTCTGCTGGAGTTGTGTATGCAGTTCTGCCACCCGTCGGAAGCCGGAGCGCAACTTCAGGGCCAGGAGCCCAGGATCTTTCTTCACTTTCAAACCGCTTGTCGCCCTGAATTAATCACACGGGCCGGCGTTTTATCAGTCCATTTTCTTCTTGGACCGAAGCTTTTCCAGTTTGTCGCTCTCCCTGCAGATGCGGTCAGATCGACAGTAACTTGTGAATGGGAGTTTGTCCGAGCCCGTTTAGAAGCTTACTGGCGACACACAGGTGGATGCAGTCTCACCATCATTAGCAGGCCAGCATGCATGCATGCATGATGAGCGAGTACACATGCAAGGACCCCGAGCTGCCTCCTGGATTTTAGCCAGCGTGCTTGCAGCGCTGCGAGCTGCAGATAGCTATTGGATTATGCGTATACATGGCCGACAGACAAGAAGATCATGGCCTCTCTTTCGGTGCCAAGCTTGGCATGCATTGCAGCCACGCCCAAGGCTTTAGGCTAGCAGCAGCAGCAGGCACATGTGCATGATCCATCAGCTAGCTAGGCACTACTGTACATCTGGTAGTGCATGCTGCGTAGAACATAGTGGAGTAGTAGTACACTGGTACTCCATCGGATAAATATGTGCATAAGGAGGGAAATAGGTAAGAGCATCTACGGGCACCCCAAACACATCTCAAACGTCCGAGCGGGCCGACCAGTCACAAAAAATCAACCCACACAGGTGCTTCAAACCGGCCTTAAACGTCTGGGCTGTCCGGCTCTCTCATGTCCTGCCCAAATCTAGGGTAGATATGGGGCGGCCCGGGCATGTCCGGGCGCGTCCGCCTGGTAGGCTCGGCCCACCATCGACCCCATAGGTGTCCCACAAAATCCCCAATCTGGTTTCAGCTCTGAACCCTAGCTCACTCCACTCGTCTCTCTTGCTCTGTCCTGTCCTCTCCCCACCCGCATTCTGATCCAATACGGCGCGATGTCAAGCTCCGGCAGCCACTCCGGCTCCGACCTCGACTCCGACGACGAGTTGGCCCTTCGCATTGCCTTGGAGTGGTCCAAGCTGGAGACTGAGGGCAGCTCCGGATCTGCAGCTTCACCACAACTCCCGCGCCGGCTAGCGCGGACGCGGGAGCTGGACCCTCCCAGCCCGTGGTCAGCTCCGGCAGGACAACACAGTCCGCACCGCCCTCGCGTCATACCCTTCTACCGCCGACTGCTCCTCCACGAGGCAGCAGTGGGGCTAGTGCCCGCGCCATGGGCCCGCACACGCACTCCAGAATTGGTGGCGCGCGCCACCCGCCGCGAGAGGCAGCGGGCAAGGGAGAGGGTGGCGGCGGAGCGGTCCATGCGTCGTCGCCGCGGGATGCCAGCAGAGCTCTACGAGGACGAGCGGCTCCTCGCATGGGTCTATCGCCGGTCGCTCCTGACGGCGGAGACGGACGCTTGCCGCCTCCGGTGGAAGAACACAAAGGCGCTCCAGCTAGTCATAGAGCAGTCGGAGCGGGAGGCGAAGGAGGCAGCGGCGGAGGTGACTCGACCCGCCAAGCTGAAGCGACGGTAGGACAAGGCCATCCGCCGGATGAAGGGGCTGATCGTCATGTCCTCCTCCGACTCCGACTCCGACGACGGCGACGACGACAACTCCACCTCCTCCGACAACGACCAAGATTCTCCACCAGCCGCGGATGCCTACAACTGCACCGGTGATCGGAAGGGCAACGGCCCGGCACGGAAGTGGTGATCCCACTTCTCCTCCAATGTTTATATCATTTTTAGTTGTTGATGTTTAAGAATTTGTCCGGTGACGAACTCAGATGATCTTTTGAATGATGTGAAGCTCATTTATATCCATTTGCAGCCGATTTTGCTGCCCGTCATTTGATCACGTAGAGTAGCTCATGTTGCATGTATATTATGAATATAGGGTGTCGGATATGAGATATGACTTTTTTTGTCAGATTTATCTGGCAGGGAAAAATTCCATATCTTAGCTCTCGCGACGCTGCTGCGACTCCGCCGTCGCCGCGGCTGCGGCTTAGTTCGCATCCCGTCCTCCACCCCTAACCATGGCCTCCTCTCCCACCACCAACCTCACCCCCTGTGATCCCTCCACAGCCACCAACGCCCCACCCCTCCCCTCCGTCCTAGCTCCCCTGCAGATCCAGATCCAGTGCTGCTGGCTGCCGGTGCTGAGGATGGAGACGGGGACTGTCTCGCGCGCTCCGCGGATTGCCCTGGGATCCCCCCTCCGCTCAAGCTGCCACCACCTCCAGATCGGCTTCCTCCGAATTTCATGCCGCTGGTAGTGATCGATGCTTCGCAGGCACCTACGGAGAAGGGGTGGGTGGAGGTCGGGGGCCAGCATCGCCGGAGGCTGGAGAAACTGTCTGCCCCGCCCCGCAAGAAGGACACCGACCGCTCCCTTGCTTTCAAGAGGAGAGCTTATGGGCTCTGCTTCCGTTGCTTGGCGGAGGACCACTTCGTCGCCGACTGTCGTGGGCCTGTCACCTTCCTGGGTTGCGGCCGCTATGGGCATCGCGAGCGCGGCTGTCCGGGCCGCCTCCCTACCGGCAATGGTCATCTCCGCGGCTCCCTGTCGCCGCCGGCTGCTCCTCGCCTCCAACACCCGTCCCCAGCTCCTTCACCGCAGTTGCGGCAGCGCTCGTGGGCAACAGTTGTTGCCGCCCCGACTGGGCTCGTTCAAGGGGCCCCTTGTAGCAACTCTGGCACCCCCTGGTCGGGTCAGTCCGGCCCTGACGAGTCGGCCTTGGCTGCTGATTTGGGGCTGCTGCAACCCCTCTTTGCAGCTCAGACCGAGGCGTTGCGCGCCGAGTTGCAGGCTCTGGTTACCGCTCGTGTGGAGGATGTCGTTCAACCCCTCCGCGACATGGCGGTTGCTCTGCAGGGTTGGGCGGCCCAGGTCTCGAGCCTCTTGGAGCAGTTGGAGGCTATCAGTGGCAAAGTAGTGGGGAACAGTGGGGGATCTTCCTCCTTGGCGCCTTTGGGTTCGCCTCCTCCCTGGTGCGAGCATGAGGAGCCACCGGCGCCTCTTGTTATTGCCTATGGCAAGGATGTCAGTCAGGCGGGAGTGGCCGGGTGCTCGTCTGAGGTGCTGGCAACTGTGGCGCTGCCTGCAGATGTTCTTCCTACGTTGGATGTCGTTCTGCACAAGACGGTGATTCTAGGAGAGGAGGAGCAAGCTAAGGTGGCTGAGATAGTCATAGCGAGCAATGATATGGAGCAGATTGAGGTGGCCTTGCCTGATGGTTTGGTTGGAGAGGTGCCTCCCTTCGTCCCCTCTTCAGTGAAGCTTGCTTCAGGGGGCACTACCAATATGATGTCTTCTGGGTCCGAGGAACCAGTTGGTGATATTGGCGTGCCATCAACTACCTTGTTGGATGAGTTCCTAAGCAGTTTCAGTTGCGCGGCATCGCGGTCCTTGCTCGAGGAACCTATTCATGTGCAGATTGAAGGGGCATCTTCTTGTTCCGAGAGGCGTAGTGGACGTTTGGATAATAAGAATAGAAACAACAACATTCCTACTGCCAAACGCGCTGAATATAGGTTGGCAGAGGCTTATGGGGAACTACCGAAGGGGATGAAATCTAAGAAAGGCTCCGAAGAGGATGTGCAAGAGAAGATGAACTCTTATCTACGGATGTACAAGAAACCCCCTACGCCGACAGCGACCCAGGCAATTCGTGCATTGGTGGAGGCCAATGGTTGATCTCATTTTTCAAAAGGTTAGGTGCGAGTTCACATCGAGTTGCAGGCATGTTCTTCAGGTTGCAGTGGTTGTCTTGGTCGGGTATGTTGTGTTGACCATGGTCTTGGGCCTTGGCACCCTTGTATCTGGCTCGGACGACTTCCCTTGAGTGCTAGTCCGGTGTGTGTGGTCTTCGTCGGTTTCCCTTAATTAACTGATGCCATGTATGGTTTTTGGGTCCAGTTTCCCTTATTAAGCGGACCAACTCTCTTCTTCTTAATGCAATGCGGGAGCTTCCCGCCCTCTGACGAGGTTCCGTCAAAAAGATATGAGATATGAGGATGTGGAGAGGGAAATATGAGGTGTGTTTCGTCAATGCTCGCGGACATGTTTGAGAGGCCGAATTAGCACCTCGCGACTGTAGATGCTCTAAGACATACATACCGATGCACAACAGGATATTATAACTCAATATATATATTTATCCTCCACATTGCATGTTTGCATGCAGTAATAATAACGGTGACTAGTCTATCTAAACCAAATTACCAAAAGCATGCATGCTTCTACCATACCCAGCTAATACGTGTTTTGTGTGCGTTTCGGCAAATATCAGCCGATCGATCAGAAGGAGGTGAAGGCGCAGCTGCCGGTGTGGTCGCCGGCGGCGTCGTCGTCGCTGCAGGGGGTGTGGGTGTGGCGGCCCTCGTAGGTGGTGATCACCATGCGGCAGTCCTCGGACAGCCTCTCCACACGCTTCTTCACGCGGCAGTTGCTGTGGGTGCACCGGTAGTAGCTCCTGCACGCACCCACACGTACGCAAATAAGACACAGACATATACAGGTTCAGAGAAGCCAATTTTGCCAGAAAAAAAATCAGTAATTAATCCACAATAGATCTCTCGAGACGCAGTACATCACATCACACGTGTCATAATAATCTATAATTGAAGTACTGGCACAGTTAACATTCATGAACACTGTATGATACTCATTGTGGAAAAAGATTGTAGTATCTATCACTACACACGTTCTTCAGTGTGAAAATACATGTATAACACTAAATATAGCAACATCTATAACACACCTAAGCCAAACCTCTTTTAAGTTTGACCAAGTTTGTAGATAAATATAGCAACATCTATAACACTATTAGCTTTATTAGAATCAACATAACATGTATTTTCATACTATACATATTTGATGTTGTACATAGCAATTTACCTATAAGGTTGGTCAAACTTGAAAAGGTTTGACTTGAGACTAACCTAGAACTTCAAGTTTTTGGAACAAAGGGAGTACAAGCTCCCCCGCAAAAAAAGGGAGTACAAGCTAAATGCAAGCATGGTCAGAACTTGACCAAAGCAGAAAAGAAATGTGGGAAATGATCTCTATACAAAAATAATATTAATTCAAAAACACCAAAACAGAAGGAAATAAAATACAGTATTACAGAGGCATGCCCGCTTCAACCCAATAAGATTGGAGATTATGGAATTGGCACCGATGAATATTTGGTTACAACGCAGGGGAAGTCATGATCCATTGGAATTTTTCTAGGTTACACTCAATGGAGTTTTCATTTACAGTCAAGTACAAAAGTGTATCACAAGAAAGATTGGTAGGGTTTTTAATCCCACAAACCTAACCAACTCTCTGGCTAGTGTTCCGCCCCTGCATGGCGAATGTTGTAAGGAATGATTGTGATAACCTTGTTTTAATTAATTAATAATTGGGATGTTTTTTTAACTCTCTGGCCAGAAGGTTTAGAAAACGCAGTGTTAGGGACAACACATGTTTGGTATATCATGCAACTATCCATATTCCTGAAAGAGCTCAAAACACTAGAATTTCTGAATACATGCCTATAATAAATGATTCAGAGCAAACGAAGACATTAGGAGATGATGGTGCATTGGACTTGAGGATTATTTACATAATTTTGAATGTATGTGAATTGGGAAAACGTAGGATTACAATATCATGTCACTCAAATGATAATGGTTGAATTTGTAACGAACTTTATTTAATTGCATGTATCACAGGAAAAACAAATGATTTTTCGTAAGAGGTTTAGGTGGATGCAAAGTTTCCTTTACAATGTAGTGCAAAGGAAGTCTTAGAAAAAAAATCATGTGGGATTCAATCCTACAAATCATGCACTTTTTTCCGATGAAGAGCACTTTTATTATTTTTAATTCATAATGTAGCATCAAGGAGATACAAATACAATGAGCACACACTCGGCCTCCGCACGACTATGATGCACACAACCAACACCAACGCGCACACACAAAGGATCATGCCCGTAAATAACAAAAGTCATACATGACCGATGTTGTACCTAGGAGGATGCAAAAAAGATGATGATCCATGCCGAGCAATTGCACATCCAATGAAGATGATGCATGCATACATGATCTGAATGTGGACAAAACCACGCGAGCTAAAAACTGTGTACGCACCAGGCAAGCAACCCAACAGCCAAGAGCCGTCTACAGGAACAGTTTATAAGAAATCCAGTTGCAATGCTCCAAAATTCCTATGAAAATCTTGCATTAATATAGGATCTCAAAGTACAATACGACGACGTTTGAGTTCATGCCAAAATTCCTATGAATTTGGATGGTAGAAATGAATTTCACAGAATTTTGGCAACCTCAAAGCATGGTTGGAAAGGTCATGGTATACTAAACAATCTAACACTATAATATTTTGCATGGAATTCATACAATGAATTAAAGTGTATGTAAATTCCTAAACAATTCATTTAATCAAGGATGCTCGGTTGAGTGGTGCATATCAATTCGATATGTCTTGGAGATCGACACAACGATGCTTCATTTTTATGCTTATTGTGTATACTAAATAATGAACAAGGCACCCATTTTGGGAAACATACTATAGTGCATATTTATCATACTTCCAAGTCTTTCTTAAGGTTATGTGTGGAGTGAGCGGAGATGCCAATGATTTGATTTTCTTAGAAACACTAAGTACAATGTAGACGCTCACATGCAAGTAAACCACCACCACATACACACACTCACACAACAACTACCGAAGACACGAGTTACGAAGCTTCAGATTGACGAATTCACCACATGGCCCACCGAAAGAATATATCACCTTAGTGGGACACAAAGAGCATCAAACCTATGGTTTGACCCCCGCTGTGCTGTGAGTACAACCATCCTCGTAAGAATCCAAGCACAGGTTGGTTCTCGACAATGTTTGAATGTTGACCCAAAGGCTTGGAAAGTAGATATATGGGTACGGGTTTTCCAAGCAACTTAGAGATAAATGATTCATTTTATAATGTGGGCAATGGATTAATTATCACTTATTCTGATTATGAAGGGCAAATTATTTGGCTTCTGTAATCCAATAACATATCTTAAAATTGTTTGATTCAAAGGATTTTTTATATAGAAAAAGAGGATTCCGGTCCTTAAGAATCCTCCTGTGTGGTTTGTGGTTTTTAGGATTGTAAACCATAGGGATTTTTCTAATGATTCATTTGCACTAGATTTTATAGAATTTTTTTTCATCAACTTCAACATCTTGAAAATAATTCTATGTCTTTCTGTGATGCAACCCAAAAAAAACAAAAAAAAACATGTAGGATTTGAATGGACATGTTATTGCTATCCCACTTTTTTCTATTTCCGCGTTTTCAGAATCTGCAAATTAGAGGCCATGAATGGGGACGGTCGGCGGAATCTAAGGCACTTCACAGTTCGCGCACATCCTCGAATTGGATTTGGGTATGTCATGCATATGTAGTACTAGTAGAAAACGAATTAGGGTAAGCACATGTGCGTGCATACCTGGGATGAAGGCTGTTCTTGACAACCTTCTGTCCGTACTTCCTCCACTTGTATCCGTCGTCCAGCACGTCCACTTCGCTCCTGGTCTGGAAGCAGAACCGCGGCTCCCTCATCTTCCTCCTCACCTTCATCTTCCCCTTCTCCGCCCCCTTCCACCTGCGCGCCCACCACCATCCGTCACCATACCCATCAGTCCCCTAGCTAGCTCGTGAAACCCTAGCTGTTAGCACTATCAGACGCCCAATCGTCCACTAACACTATACTGTACAGCAGGCATATAGCAACACACATCTTACCATGAGCTCGGACCATGGCAGCTGGCTGTGGTGGTAGTAGTAGTACTAGCAAACTCGTTGGCCGCTCTGGCCGCCGATGTGCCCGCCTGAGAGAAAACACAAGATTTCTAAGAAATCAACCAAGAAACACCATGCGACAACAAAGGCGGTCAAGCATGCACGTCAGCGTCAGTTACCTCGCCGGTGCCGCCCAAGGGCGCGAACCCGGTGGGCTTCTCGCAGGCGGCGGCGGAGTGGCAGAAGGGGATCCCCGGAAGCAGCGGGTACAGGCCCCCGCCATGGTCCGAGGAGAACATCACGCCGTGGTTCCCGGGCTGCTCTTGGAGCACCAGCGGCATCTGGTGAAGCTTGTGCTGGTTCGGCAATGGAGCGAGGAGGGGAGGGGATGCGTACGGATCGAGCGCGTAGAGGCTGGGAAGGCACGCCCCCAGCTGGCTACCCCCTTCCATGCAGGATCATGCACGCGATTGATCGGCGCGCGCGACCTAGCTTAGCTTGGGGGCATGAGATGCCAAGGAGAGGATAGAGAGAGGCTGATGGAGAGAGAGAGGGGTAGGTGATTTCTTGCCTAGGTTTGAGAGAGAAAGGGGAACAAGAGCGGTGGGCAAGCTATAGCTGGGAAGGGGACTGGACAGAGACCCACCCTTTAAAGAGCCTTTTGCTCAAATTGTGGTACTGCTCGTTGCTGTAGCTGCTCATCCTTCAGATTCATCCATCGGCTCCTGCTTTTGTAGCTTGTGTGGTGATGCTTACCTGTTATAAACTAGCTAGCGTTCTCTACATATGCTTTGTCAGTTACATGCAACAAGTTCCCCCAAGTTCTTTCTACGCCAAACGCATGGAGCTAGATTTCACATTGTTTTTCTAGAAGAAATTTCCGATTGTTAGTCATATAGCTTTTTTTTTGAGACAATGTTAGTCATATAGCTGGCCAAACGGGTCGTGCTAACTGGACCGGCCCGGTAGCACGCAAGAACGGCACGGCACGGCCCGAGCTAAACGGGCTAGGTCCGGCACGCGGCACGCCATGGGCCATGCCTGGGCCTGGAGGCTGGGCACGCGGGCCGGCACGGCACGGCCCATTTAATTTTTGTTCAGATTTTTTTATATATGACCTAAATTACAGCCCAATAGGCCTAAAATATAGCCCAACAGGCTAAAAATCAGATGGGCTAGCATGCTAAACGTGCCACGGGCCGGCCCGTTTAATAATCAGGCCGTGCCTGGGCCAGAGAGCCATGCTCGTGGGCCAGCACGACACGGCCCGACTATTAAACGTGCCATGGCGGGCCGTGTCGGGCCGGGCCGGCCCGTTTGGCCAGGTCTGGTTAGTCGTGTGGCATTTTGATCTAGGCATCGATCTACAGATCCGCCGGATGAAACTCTAGTTTTTCTTTTCAGTAGAGTTATGTGGCGGAGCTCCATTGGTGGTGACGAAGGTGTCAATATGGGAAGTAAATTTTCTCGAGCCTCTCCATCTTGATAATGTCAACTGTGGTGACTTGATAGCTTGTTGGCATGAATTCCCGCTGGTCTATTGGTGGGGAGGTTAGGGTTTGTCATGTTGGCAGCGGCGACGACTTCCTTTTGCAATTTGGTCATCCGCCTCCTCTCCATCATGTTGGTACGACCTCCGATGTCAGCGTGAGCCCTATGAGCTTTTTTGGAGGTTGGGATTTTAGATATGTGGATCTTCCGGCAACGCTGACTACCTTCATCTGTTTTTTCTATAGGGCGCCGGTCCGGCAGGACCATGGCCTTGATGACTTCCGTCCATGATCAACTGGATGACTCTGGCGGCAAAGAAGCGGTGGCGGTGCGTCACAACCCATTGATGGAGCTTTAAGTTCTCGTGATTTCTCCAACATGAATTGAAGAATGTCGTGCATGTGCTCCATGAGGTGGAAGGTAATTAGTGATAGTAATTTATGCAATTCAAAATTTGTTCAATATTAAGTGTATGTAAACCATTGACTAAGAAAAACCATTTTGGTCTCTCAACAAAGGGCAAATTGTAAATTAGGCCGCTAGATCAATTCTATACCGGATATATTGGTCCCAAAATTATCAAAAATATCTAGAATTTGTCCGCTGCACCACTAAATATGGGTCTAATAAGAATGATGTATCGACAATTGTTTGACACGTGGTACTAATTTTAGAGCAAAGAAGTTGAAAAGGAATCCGAAAGAATGCAAGAAATAAAACCCATGATTTGTGAAAATTTTGGTTGGCAAATTCAGCTAATTTGACAAAAATTAAGGAAAGTCTAATTTAAGGATTCATATAATTTGGAAAAAAATACATATTAAATTTTTGATTCTTTTTCTGAAACCAAAAAATATAGAAATTTTATTGGTAAATTGAAATGATAAAGATAGCAACAAAAAAATAGCAGGAAATATAGGTTTAAAAATGGAAAATATAATTAAAAACCTGCAAAGTGTAGCAAATAAACTTTTGAATTTTGGATCCATAACTAACCTAGAATAGCCATAAATGTTTTTATTTTAAAAGTTCAAATATGCGTGAGATTTTCTAGAACATTTCTATCGAAGAATTTTTTTCCCTGTTTTTAAAATCATCTGATATTTTTGTGTCGGCTAAGCTGCCATATGTATGAAACCACAACCACGTTATTGTCAAAATTGCTTACCAAGGAAACAGTTTTGACACTCGAGAAACAAAGAATATTCCGCGTGGAGTTGATGGACCAAGTTATTCTTTGGCAGGATTGAGGAACCAAAGATATAATTTCTCCTTAATAACCTATAAGCGCATGTAAACTAATTCCCAACGTTATATTTCATGGCCTGGATACGAATAAAGCGGTAGTACATCAGATAGCTGAAGCACCATGATGTATCCTTTTCAGTCCCAAGCACGAGTCAAACTTGTGTGATTCGGAAGAGCCATATGGATACCTGTAATAGGCTGGGGAGTCCCCCCTTTTCGAAAAAAAATATGGATACCTGTAATGAAAATCATTTCAATCACAGATTTCGTTTTGTTTTCAAGTTTCACGGAGCTCCTCCCCCACTTTGAGCAAGAAAATTCAGGAGGGGCATGCATATCATTACCGGGCGCTTGTTGGGGGTGCAAGATTTTCAGTGATTGTACCTTTTGCTCCCGGCAATTGCTCAATAATTGTGGGGGAGTTTACACCAAAAGCCTCGCACACACTTCACTGTATACGCTCCCTCTTTTCTTGAAAAATCATCACGACGACCCATCTGCCATGATGCATCATGGGCACACAGCTCATCGATTCCAGCCACCAGCAGATGAACATACAGATTTACAGATGGACGAACGATAGATGCATGTCCATGCAAATGCTTACTCGAGGATGACAACAGCCGTATGCCCCAGCCAGTATACCAGACGCAACAGTCTTTCCATTTGTATTTGGAATCTTGCTAAGCTAGCTGCTCACCAGAAAATCAACCCATGTGCACAGTTCTTTTTCCATGTACTCCTACGTACGAGGGACCGAGGGAGGAAGCAAGCGTAGGTAGAATCCATGCCCAATCATGCGTATCGGTGGCCAGCCAGTGCTTGTGGTCATCCTGCATCTCTGTTCGTGCATATGGCCACACGCATGATACACCGATTGAAAACTTGATCAGGTTCAGCTGCGCCTCAATGGCCGGGCAAGCTAGTGGTGGGGCTGGCCGCGGCAGAAGACAGCAGCCATGGCCAACCAAACGCATTGCTGCTGCAGCACTCGCACTGATGTTTTCTTTCCAGATTAACCTACAGCTATAGCGGAGCTGCCGCCAGAGGGAATTTTGATCATTGCAGATGCTGCGAAAAGCCTCTTCTTCAGGGCCATCCACCCTCCCCAACCCAGAGAGCCACTTGCTTAATTTGCCCTACCTCATGCGATAGCATCTCCCTTTATCTCACAAACCCAGTGGGCAGTGCAGATTTCTGCAGGATTGTATCCGGATCAGGGGAAGATCCGAGGGCGGTGCGCGATTGCCAACCGGTCACGAGCCACGGGAGGGAGGGAGAGAGACAGGAAGCATGTGCGGAGCAGCGGCGTTGCACAGTTCCGTTGCCAAGTCTTTCTGCATGGTTTGGTTTCCCTGGAAAGGGAGGACCGCAGAGAGACGAACAGACAGCAGTACATGCATACTGGGAGTCTACCACCACAGTCCACAGTGGCACAGTGTACAGTTTACAGATGCAGCAAGAAAAGAATAGAAACCTAAAGTGGTAGACCCGTACTGTACAAAGAGCACCTAGGTATAGCTCGTAGGCTGAGTGTTCTTGCGTGTGCAAGTGTGCAACCATTTTCTTTGTCTGATCCTTTGGTCTCTCACTTTTTCGTCCCTGTCTAGTCCTTGTTTTCATAGTCTACTCATCTTGCCAAGAAAAATGGACATCATTGCTCGGATAGACAGCCCCATTGTCCGTTTGCTGCAGAGCAGGGCACCGAAAAGAGGGAGGGGAGAGCGCTGTCGACATCGACACCACCTGTTCTTTTCCCCCTGAAAAATCTTTGAAATGAGATGTCATTTATTTGGATAATGAAAGACATATATAGCTCCTCTTGAGCAATGAACACATTGCTTTTATTGCAATATACATACTGGACCAAATGAAAAAGACAAATATCTCAAAATGTGGCATGCAATGAAAAGGTGAAAACAAGAACATGTCCAATGTTGAAGTTGTAGCCCAAACAATGACACAAGTCTTTGAGAACCAATTCTAACATCGTAAATCATCACTTTTTTTGTCTTGCAATTGTTGTAGTAAGTATTTAGGATTGTTGCCAGCTCATGCCTAGCATATAACATGCGATGGACTCCAAAAGGAAAATTCAATTTCTTTTGTCAAACACAATGTCTTGTTTGCGTAACCAAATCTGCAAATACAGGATATGTTGAAGAATGCAACTCACAATCACAATTTGACCTTTCAAAAACAAAAAAATCAGAATTTAAAACGGACTCATCCTACATATCTAAGTAGGAGATCCCATTCTGAACATCATGAAGGGCATTTCAAACCCACCATAACTCATTTACTAGCACATGTAAGCAATCCGCGTCATCAATCACATGCAAACCCTCCACATTATTGCTATAAATTTCTGTGGCAACACACAAAGTATCATCTAGTTTAACTTAGCCATGTGACTAATTTATAGAAAAAAAACTGAATAATTCCACGAGCTAGTTATATATTTAAAGCAATGTAGGTTGAGGGAGTTGTTTGCAATCAAAGGTAATGTGTTGCGTAGTTTTATTCCTTATAGGGAATCAATATGGTTTCATGCATGAATCAATCTAATATATTGTCAAAACGAAACGCTTAAAAGTGGTTATGATTGAATTTCGTCTTTTATAGTTTCCCTTTATCCCTACAACAAATCAAAATAAATATAAACACCAAGGAATGAGGAGTAAAAGAGAGAAGCATGAGGGGTTGGCTAACG